ATAGCTGTAAAATTCAGGAACTGATAGGAGTTAATACTAAACATGCATCATTTGTTTGTAAACATGCATCAGCAGCCAGAGTATTGTTTCTTTTTAAACGTTTTCTTTTAAAGGTAAATATTTTTTAATCTCTTGCTTTTCTGTAATGTCAAGGTGTCAGCCTAAAAAAGTGGGCAGATACAATACGCTTTTTAATGTACTTGTTGGGGTTGCTGATTCCAGTAACTTCAGGTTCAGTTTACTTTTTTAAACAAAGGTAAAATCCAGATTTATTAAGATGCAATTTAATTATTTGATTATATTGTTATGGCTGCTAAGCCTATATTAGGAAGTCAGCAACGTTTTAAAAAATGTTGTTTCTAACCCAGTGCTACCTAAAACATTGCCTCACCTTTTTGTCTACCTCACAGTAATGTGACCTTAGAAATTTTGGGGAATTTCTTAAAACAACAGTGTTGTTCCACGTGAAAGTTTGTTTTAACATAAGTATGAATGTTATTTTTAAAATCTCTTGGCAAAGATAGCTACAGTGCTATTAATTTAGACCGAATGCGCATGGAACTTCTAAGTTTTACTGCAGTTTGTAATGCTAAAATCTTTAATGAGATGAAGTGGGGAAAAAAAAAAAACCCCAACCCTGGACTGTACAGTTGAAATAGACTGTTCCAGGCAACACTCTTCCCAGTAGTCCCTGGTTTTGGTTTTGTTTTTGTTTGGGTTTTTTTTTAAATTTCCTTCTCGCTCTCTTGATTTTGATTTTACAGTTGAGCTGTAATACAGTAACTTGTAGCACTTAGGATGGAATAAATTTGAGGCGGATGCTGCCTTCATTCCTTGCTGCGGAGCCAGCGGGGCCGGGTGCTTTATGGAGACGATGCGCCCCACCCATAAGGCAAGGAACAATGTGAATTTTTGCGTGATCCCCGTAGGCGTTTTAGAGGTTTGTGATGACTAGCTTACAACTTGATGCATTTTAACCTTATTAACTAGAAGGTCACTTGTCACGGAACCTGTTTGTTGGGCATATTTGCGAATTCTTGAAATTTTTGGCAAACCTTCCCAGGAGTGGCCAAACCACAAGCGTGAGAGCAGTGGTGCAGATCATTCAGCATCCTCCTTTGCTCTCCTACTCCCTCAGGTAGCACAGGCTTTGGGTTTGACTTGTGCTAAAGCTGCAGCCATGGGAAATGTGCCTGTGCACTCTCAATCTATGGATAAAATTCTGTCGTTTACATCTGAATTATAAGAAAACTATAGTTATACAGTTCAGTTATACTTATCATGTTTAAACCCAGACCGTACACTTTAAATGTTTGCACAGATATTTAGATAGGTATTGGCTAAATATTTTGGTTGGAGACTGTGAACCTAGTTATCACTTTTTTTGTTCTAGAGACTGAGAAAATAATGCTAGATCTCATAATTTGTCATTTTAGCTATTTAAGCTCAGTGTATTCAGTTATTCAGTTTTCATTTATACTACAGTTTTTTCATTTATGCTATGAACATTTAGGTTTCTTGGCATATTTTTAGTTAATTGCCAAACATTGTAAAGAATGAAATCTGCTTATGACATATGGACTGTTACAGTATTATTGTTAGTATAACATTTCAGTTATTATTTTAATGCTGGTCTTATGTGCATTACAAATAAACCTGAATATTATCATTAAGAATTTCTTAAATAAAATTTGAGCTTACATATATAACTGATGTTTTGTTGTCCACTGAGGTTGACTTAATAGTAACGATCCAGTACTTACACAAATGAGGGATAGGGGTTGCTAACATCTTGTGGGAAAGAGGGGGAATATTCTCCTTACTTTTTGTGTATTATGAAAATGACCGAATGTAAGCATTCTCATTTTCAGAGCCAGAATTTCTCAAAAATAATGAGTACTGGACATAAGGATGCTACTCAGAAGAAAAGCATGAACAAACTATGCTGGAAACTGTGCAGCCCCCAAGGAGAGAGCAAAATGATTCTCAAGCCCTCCAGTGCACTTGTCTGTTTCTTGATTTGCCAATAAAACTACTGATCTGTAAAGTATATAGCAACCTTGCAAGATCCTGGCAATAAGCTTTGTTGAGCTGGAGAGATGGCTTTTGGACCATGGATTCTGCTCTATTGTTGCTGCATGCTTTTCGAGTAATAAATACAAGGATTTCTTGGAAGTCCAGGAAAAAGAGAAGTCATAAGACATCAGTAAGAGTATTGGCATACCACTGGCAGTAAAAGATGTCCGAAGAATCAATTAATATTTCTTCCAGTGCTCGGTCTTTCTGTGCAATATGTGTATAATACATACAGCCTGCCAGTGGCCCAGGGGAGGTAGAGCACAATCCTTTTTCTTCATGTCGAATCGTAAGACGTAGATGCTACAGCTCCAGAGGTAGAGTTAGGAACATTTACATTATTTTACATGCTTAAGAAGCTTCTGGTAACAGTTTTGAATCTTGGTTCTCACATAGTTAGTCAGGCAAGTCATGGAACCAGGCCTGCCCTGTACTGGAAGCAAGACTCAGGTCATTTTCACATGAAAGAAGTGTTGTATGATATTTCTTAACCAAATCCATTTGTGTGTGTCTCTTTTACAAAAGCAATCTGCCAGAACTACTGAGAAGTTGCATTTTTTTTTTTTTCTTTGTTTAGGCTGCTACCAGTGGAAGATGACTTTAACCTCAATTGTGAGCATGGTAATGCTGGTTTCACCGTTGTAGTAGAGCAGTGCTTGAGCCAGGCCGTAACTGGCTGTCCTTTGCCAGCCTGCCGGGTGAAAATGCTTCATTCCCGCCTGCTCAGTCAGTTCGTTCTTAGCTAGAAATTGCTTGCAGACAGCAGGTCACGTCATAGATCACTTCAGCTTGTATCCTGGTGGCATTGGATGATCTTCCTCATTCCAGCCAAATGCATATTTATTTCTATCACATTCTACTATTTTTAATAGTGTGCTTGGATGTTCTCTCACTTTTGGGCTAGAAGGGCTCTTATTTATTTCCACTGGGCCTGTTTGCAGGCAGGGAGAGAGAAATTGCTGTCACAGTGATACATGTTATAATCTGGGTGTCTGTACAGTTACTGCAAACTAAGTTGTATGTGCATGAGGTGTTCCTCTTGTTACTGAGAGGGACGGTGACCTCGCCGAGTTGACGTGCTTCTTGCATGGTTACGTTCTTCAGGGTAGGAAATGCTGACTCCAGTGCCAGCTTTTCTTTCTTTTGTGCCTTCCCTAAATGCGAGCATTAAATGAATGTTAGGATTCAATTGTAGTTTTTTTGTTTCATCCCAGTTGGAGTGTTGAGTGAGCAGAAGGTTGATGCCAGAGCAGCAGAGGCCTTTCTTTTGATTCAGCTGAGGGTTTTTTGGCAGTCAAATGTGTTCGCTCTATTGAAGGTGAAGACCAACTTCATTAGAGAGCAGCCAGTGTTTTTCACTTGTCATGAACTGGCTGCTCTAGTTGGTGACTGGTGGTTAAGGATTCTTCAGGTGTCTGTCAAGCTGTTTACTGGCTGTTTACTTGAGCAATGAAATTATGTCAGCTGGTGTCATATTTTTAGAGCAGCTGCTATAGCTGGCCACCAACAAGTGGCCTTTTGGAGTAAGATTCATGTTGCCTGATGGCCAAAATTCAGCCAAGTTTGTTGTGTGCATTCCCTTCATAGTTGGTGTAGAGCAAGTGGTATTTAGAGACACTGTTTTTCCCACTTTGGGGTAAAAATCTGAAGTCAGATAAGTTATCCTTTAGAAGTGTCTGTCTCCATTTGGAAGTGTCAGGGCACTGCTTGCAAGGTTGTGGCAGGTGAGGAGAGGATACTCCTGCTCGTTTCTCCCAAGCTTTCCCTAGAGATTGGTCCGCACTGCAGTACCCACAGAAAACACTGCTTATAGAACTGCAAAGGATATTAACATAAATTAAAGGCTTACTGATCTTCACATTCAACAGCTGATGGTCTAGACCATTTGCCTTTTATCCTGCTTGTGCTTCTCAAGAGACAGGTGAGATACTTGGAGACTTAGCTGCTAAGGTGGCAGGAAGCTTCTGATCCTGAAAATGGGAGGTGGCTTGCAATGCAGGTGAGGCTGAGGTGTGAAGTGGTGACTGCCCATGGGTATTTTTGTCTACACGTATACTCGTGAGTTGAGAGAGCACAAGAACCTGCCTCTTGTAAGGGGCTTGATTTGAGCATGAGGTACAAAAGCAGGTAGTTCTGCCTTTATGGTTAGGAATAAGTATCTTGTGTATATCATCGTCTATTTAAAGGAGTTTTTTTCACAGGCAACTAAATACTTACTCTCTGCTGGTAGTTGATAAAGGTTAGGTGTCTTGTTTTCCACTTGACTTTTATTTACTTCTATGCCATTTCTCCCCTCGTCTCTCTCACCAAAATACATTTCCCTGCTTTTCATTTTTTCTCTCTCTTAATTACAGTATTTCTGGAGAGCTTTCTTTAGCCTATTTTAGTAAGTATTATAATTAACACTTGGCACTGTATTACAAACAGGGTTTTATTTTTCTTTTAGCTGAACATGCTGTACTTCAGTTCTTTGACTAGTATCATGTATCTAACATGTATCTATGGAACAGTACACTAATTATACGCTACTTCAGTTAGTTGGCAGAAATACTTTATCATCTTCTCCTGCTTATTGTTGGTAAATGCTTTTATCTGTTGAAGGCTTTTTGTATGCTTATTTTATCTATTCCTTACCCTTTATTGAATGTTTAGTCAAGAGAGGAAATAAACCTTGTCAAACAAACTAAAATTGCTCTATTTCTTATCTTTTTTTTTTTTTGGTGATCTGTAATGAGCATGCAGTTTAGAAGGCTTATCTATGCAGTGTTTTGTCTAAGCTTTTCATGTTTATGAAACACAGTAAGCCAATTCCTTCTGAAACGTGCAGACACCTTTAAAATAACTTGGGGGAGACACACACATTTAAGAGCTATGCTGAATGATTTTGAGGAAGCAGATTCTTAATTGAACACTTCCTTTTGCAGGCCCAGATCGCTTTTCTTCAAGGTGAAAGGAAAGGACAAGAAAATCTGAAAAAGGATCTGGTGCGAAGAATCAAAATGCTGGAATATGCGCTTAAACAGGAAAGGTACGCTGCTTTAGTGATGAGTACATGATGAAGAAATTCTGAAGACAAATAATTTCTTTTGCCTTTGTATTTGATAAAGACAAGAAATATTTCTTCTGTATATATTCAGATCTCAAATTGACAAATATGCTGAATAAACATAGTAGTCTAAATGTGCGTGTTATGGTAAAAAAAATAGCTAACATAGTATGGCTCCACAAACATGCAAGTAAAACCCATGGTTGATCAATGATTAATACTTGGTAAAATTCTACCTAATGGTATAGATTATACCCCAGAATTATAGTGTGTTATCTATTTGTTCAAAGTACTAGCTTTGTTTAGTAATATCTGACAACTGTAATCTTGAGTAACTGTCTTCAGCCTAGTAATTACTAGTTTTTAATCTTGCTAAGTCTTTAGTCTTTTCAGTATGGTAGGCTCTACAAGAATATCTTCTGGACACTAATTGTGTGAAGAGTGAAAAATGTTCATGTTTACCAGTTAATCAAATGTCTGTTTCTTTGTTCATGGGGATTTCAGAAATCCCCAGTCTACTTTACCATTTTATTCTTCTATATACCTTCTTGTTGTTCTAATCATTAAGGCAAGCAAATTGGGTTTTTTATCATATTTCCAGAAATCTTTCTGTTCAACTGATTTATTCTAGGCCAAGTTTAGTTTTAAAATTGTTTTTATTAGTAAAATGTCTTACAAATTCTTGACCAGAAAGTATATTTATGGTACTACTGCAAAGCAATCATTGCTTACATACCATTTGCCTATCAGATAATACCTACTTCTTTTTAAAATATTAATAAGATAAACCTCTCTTAAATAGTTTGTATTAGTAGAAATAAGATTAGAAATATACACACACAAATGACGAATAGGATATTGCAGCTAGATAATTTAAAAAGGATGCTAAATAGTTGTACATCACTGTATTGCATTTAGATTTGCTCATCTTATATGGGTTGCTTTAGCACATGAGGCATGCCCTGCACCATCCAGTTTATCTCGTTCTGGTAGCAACCAATTCATCCGCTAGCATGGAGCTGCAGCCAGTTTCCTGGACAGCAGTAGCCTCAGGGCTCCAGTGTACTTGCTTTCCCCTTTGGGGAATTCTCAGAGGAATGCTTAAGGTAGATACCCTTTTTGCCAAGGCCTTGTTAAGGCACTGATCTTATATCAAATATCAAATGTATGCATGACGGAGATTGCAGTTTATGGCCATGGAAAGGCTTACATTTGAAGCATGACTATGAAGATTAGAGTCACTTTGAAAGAAAACAGAAAGAAAACATTCTTGTGCAGGCAGTTAAAGCCATCCTGAGGGACCTTGACAGGCCCAGGCGAACCACACAAAGTTCAATAAGGCCAAGCGCAAGGTCCTGCACATGGGTCAGGGCAATCCGAAGCACAAATACAGGCTGGGTGGAGAATGGATTGAGAGCCGCTCTGAGGAGAAGGACTTGGGGGTGTTGATTGATGAGAAGCTCAACATGACCTGGTAATGTCTGCCTGCAGCCCAGAAAGCCAACCATATCCTGGGCTGCATCAAAAGAATTGTGGCCAGCAGGTCGAGGGAGGTGATTCTGCCCCTCTACTCCTCTCTCGTGAGATCCCACCTGGAGTACTGCGTCCAGCTCTGGGGCCCCCAACATAAGAAGGATGTGGACCTGTTGGAGGGAGTCCAGAGGAGGGCCACAAAGAGGATGAGAGGGCTGGAGCACCTCTCCTATGAGGACAGGCTCAGAGAGTTGAGGTGGTTCAGCCTGGAGAAGGCTCTGGGGAGACCCTACAGCAGCCTTCCAGTACCTGAAGGGGGCCTACAAGAAAGCTGGAGAGGGACTTCTTACAAGGACATGCAGTGATAGGCCAAGTGGTTATGGCTTTAAACTGAAAGAGCATTAGATTTAGGTTAGATATAAGGAAGAAATTACTCATTACGAAGGTGGTGAGGCACTGGAACAGGTTTCCCAGAGTAGCTGTGGATGCCCCATTCCTGGAAGTGTTCAAGGCCAGGTTGGATGGGGTTTTGAGCAACCTAGTCTAAGTGGAAGGTGTCCCTGCCTATGGCAAGTGGGTTGAAACTAGGTGATCTTTAAGGTGCCGTCCAACCCAAACCATTCTATGATTCTGTGATTCCATTCTATGATTCTAAAGATATCCTTTAAGGCATATAAATTCAGTAAGATTTCTTGTACTTCAAAACTGAGGGAGCTATTCCGAATTACTTAGGGATATCTCTAATTCTTTATGTTCATAACCCAGATAAATTAGCAATTTATGTAAAATTATCAGGCTATGTAAATGCATTTCTGTGTGCTGAGAAGCTTTGTAAGATTAAAAAGAAGAAAAAACAACAATGAAACTTCCATATGGATAGTAAAAATGTCCCCCAGGTGCATTCAGTAAAATCCACCGAAATTAAGACATTTAAATCCTAATGCAGCAGTCACTGTCAGGATTAGGAAAAAACACCCGGTGGCTTCTTATTAGCGGTTTCTACATAGGTATCTTTTATCTTTTCTTGTATTTCTTTCTGCAGTGTATGGTACTAGGCTCGGTTACTCAAGTCAGTAGGCTACAGTCAGCTGATCCGGTCCAGTTTGACAGTTTCAGTATGGGTCTGCAATGTTTTTTAAAGTAAATGTGATGCTTGTGAATGATGTGTTGTAGAGACAGCTATTTATAAGGGTTTGTGGTTTTAAGCAGCAGTATTATTTGCTGGTTTCTGAAGCAACAGTCTTGAATTTCTGCTGGAAATGTCTCCCAACAAGTGTTCTTGCTTGATACTTAAAAGAATGGCCACGTACTGAGCTTGAAAGCACTGCTCTCTTTCCCAGCATTTCCCTAAATCAGCTGTTGGCCAGGTCAGGCAGTAGTCAGTTGGGATGCTCTCTGTTTCCACTGGGATCTCGGAGCTGGAAAATAGGATCCTACAAGGTAGGGGGAAAACATTTCTGGTTGTGTTAGGGGAAGGGTGGTGTGGGTGAGAGGGAGCAGCGAAGCATTTCTGTACTCCTTCATTTCTCCCCTGGCCTTACAGCACATCGAATCTTTCTTAGGTAGATGAAATAAGTTATGAGTAATGGGACAGAATAAGAAATTGTGGCCCAGAGTAGTCTGTGTTCATGATGCCCTCAGGGAAACCATGAGCAAGAACTGAGCGACATTGGTTTTCTTGGACACATGCCTTTATGAGCTGCTCTTCTGTATAGTGGGTGTTCAGCATTTCTTTTATCAACCAAATGTTTTCAAAGTTTACTATAAACAAGCAACTTTGGAAGCATTGTCGTTCTCTATTTCATGCAACTTAAGTAATTATATAATGGGTAAGGTAGAAAATGAGTTTTACTTACAGATTATAATGTTTTTCTGAAAAATTTAGTTTAAAGTTTGGTCTTTATATTAGTAACTGTAAGATTACCTTTTTGTTGCATGTATAGGAAGTCCAGTTATTTATCCTGAGGAGTCTTAATACACTAAATAGCAAAGAGCTTAGAAGGAGGCAGTTAATAGTTAAGCACTATCGTTTGTTCAACAGCAGTTTTGATGTAGTTTGCAGTGTGAGGCTGTTCACATTTGAGGGTTACTTTTTATTAGTTTATCAATACTTGCTCCACCACCAGTAAATTGCATTGTTTCCTCTGGATTTTTGGGAGCTAGGTGAAATGTAGTCCTGTTTCTCTGAAGTCCGTGTCCTATTTTATCTAGTCTAGCTCGTTTCCTGTCGTAACATATTTTAACCAAAGAGCTAGGCTCCTGAGCCATGTCTCTAGAAACACTTGATTTAATTTTATGTTGTTTTCTGCACTGGTGTGTCTGATCAGTGTAAGGCTGGCGCCTTCTCCCTTGGGTAGGATATCTCGCCGTGCTGTTCCTGGCAGTCATTCTTGTTTATGTCTCTTGGCTTGGCGGCGGCTCCCAGATCTTCTACGGATGTTTTGGCAGGCTCCCTCAACACAGCTGGATCAGATGCTTCAGGTCTGGCGACAGATATTTCCAAGAAATAGTCGCCTTTCTTGATCGGGATCAAACTTGTTTCTGTCTGAAGTATTCAGAAAAGATTCACTGCTCTCAGTCTTAGGAAATTTAGAAGGATGAAAGTTTTTAGTGTTTTCCTAAGCAATTTTTGAAGTGTTGTGGCAGCCATGTTGAATGTCTTCAAGCACTGTTTGCGTAAAAGACACATAGTTTAAAGAAAATACTGCTAATCAAAAAAGAGAATTGCGTAATGAAGTGCAAAAGCCAGAGCAGTGGTAATGTTCATACTTATCTGAGTAAGGGCATCTACCCTGTAACATAGTTTCACAGCCCCAAAATAGCTTTCTTCCAAACAACTTAAAGGCTAGTTTTCAGATGGAAAATACCTTCTATGAAGTTGTGTCCTTCAGCTAGTTATTTTTCAAGTAATTTTTCAACCTCTGCATACTGTTAATAATTCAGTTAATAATTGCTGTTAATAATAATTATTGCTAATAATTTTTGGAAATTGAAGGTACATCAAGTTGAATGAGTTTCAGATAGTAAAGGCTCATCTTTGTGATTTGTTACACTCCTTCCCCTGCCCCAAAACCCCTGTCCTTGTTTTTGACCAGGTGATAGAAAGGTTGGAGAAACTTCAATTTTTCTTCATACTTATTTAGAGAAAAAAAAAAAAATACATTTGCTCTTCTTTGTGATAATAGCATCTCACTGCTGTGATGTGTGTGAACTGCAGAGGGCCAGTTTAAAGCTGTTAATAAGTCGACTGTGTGATTCCTGAAAAAAAAAAAAAAAAGAGAAATTAAGCATCAGAGGTGGGCAGGAGCTATTCTGTTATTGTAGAAATAGATTAAATATAAACATGCTAATGGAATAAGCTATGTTCAGAATTTGTATAGAAAATAATTAGGTTCTTTTGTGAGAAGCTTCATTGCCTTTGACTGCAGTATGTGTAACTGAACAGTCAAGGCTCTTCCTTCTAGTCTTGGAGTCTGAATCATGTTCAGTTCAGTATGCTTTAGAAAGAAGATGATTGTTTGTCTTTCATACCTGTGACATTTTTAATTGTACCGTAAGAAAGTTACTAATAATAAATCTCATACTTGCTGCCTGAAGAAGTGTAGAAAATATTCCCTTGATGGACTATTGGCTATCTATTGATTTTTTTTTTTTTTTTTTTCCTAAATATTTCTCTGAACGTTAGAAGCTGACCATAGCTGGAAGTGAGTTCACTGGGTCAAGTACTCTGACATGGTATTCGTGTTTCTGTTTCACATCTAACTGGTATCTTGCTCAGATACTTGAATTTATACTAACTAATTCTAATTAGTTCACCTTTGAGTTTGGCATTGGTTTTTTTTTTTTTTTTAATTATTATTTTGTGCAGGCAAAGGTCTATGGCTTTTTGTTTTTAACTTTTCCTGCAATATTAAAAATAAGTATTGCTTTTTGGGATCGTCAGCTCCTCAACCGCCTGTCTTTGTTAGCATGTGATTCCTCTGCTGTATCTGTATTTCTACTGGTCTCTGCCCGTGATATACAAAGTTAAATCTTCTGAAAGATGAAGTCTTAGTCCAGTTTGGCCTTAAAATAAATTTAAGGGCCAGTGGTGTACAAGAGCGTGTAATCTAGGTTATCCTCTTGAAGTAAAGAATAATAACGAAGGCTTTAAACTGTTGCATTATGAGGAGGAACCAGTTAAAAAGAGAACTGCTACTAACAGTTTAGAATGTGGATAGAATGAATAATCTCACTTTGCTGAACTGATTTTATAATGCTTTTAATGAGGGGGAAAAACTTCAGTAAAAAGAAAGACGCATATTAC